TTGAAGACGGCTGGCAAGGACAGGGCCGACTCCATGGATTTAAATGCACTAGCAAGTCCAGGACTCAGTGACCAAGGGCACGTGTGACAGACCTGTAAAGGGCAGCACCGGCAAGAAGCCACAGCCTTGAGCAACTCACATGGTGAGGGCCCGTGGGGTCAGGTGTGTGTCCAGAACTAAACTCCCTCCCCACGGCCTGCACACCCCCACGGGTGCCAGCCAGGCCAGCTGACGCTCTCTCTCTGATCACCCCAGCACCTGCCTGCTCTCTGTCACCATGAAATCTGAGGCAACACGTGAAAGAATAATCGGACTCAATGCTGTTGATGGGGCTGCCAGAACCAGACTCCCAGCTGGGAATTCCTAGATTCCACAAGACTCCACGTCTTTCTGAAGACTTGTGTAATGCCGGTTTATTTGAGGAATGCAGCATGACTGGAGGTGGGTGGCTGCAGGTGAACACAGTAGATGATGAAATAAGATTTGAGAACACAAATATAAGCTGGAAACACAAGAATTCCAAGGGAGGAAGAAGGAGCAGAGTGTACAACGGGAAAACAGGCAGATGCTTTTTTCTTATGTTTTTTCTTCTGTCTGCTGCCACCTCCCCTCCTTGTCCAGCTCATGAGGGCAGGGACCTCGTCTCTCTTGGTCTGACCCTTGTATGGTACCCTGCACAAAGAAAGCACCTCTAAACACGCTGGGGGAATCAGCACACAGCCCGCAATTCCTGCAGGAAATGAGAGGAGCTGGGAGAAGGAGCAGAGGGCAGGAGCAGGGACGTGACAGGTGACTGTGGAAGCGTCCCCACATTCACTCAGTCACCCCCCCACGTTCCGGACTCTGGAGACAAACAGTGAACAGAAGGGGAATGCTTTATGATTAATGTCCATCCAAACACTAGTGGATTAATGTCCATTCATGGATTAGGTACCTGGTGTCTGGGTGGCAGCTCCCGGCCACCCAGACACCAGTGCTGGCCTTTGAGCCAATGGCTTTTCTGCTCCTGGTTTGCACTCAACTACTAACTGAAAAGTTGGCGGTTTGAACCCACCTAGTGGTGCTGTGGAAGAAAGGCCTGATGATCTGCTTCTGTAAAGATTACAGCCAAGAAAACCCTAAGCTATGGAGCACAGTTTTGTTCTGCACATATGGGGTCACTGTGAGTCAGGATCGATTTCACGGCAATGGGTTATTAATAAATTAATGTCCATTACTTCTTTTTCTTTGGAAAGTCCTTAATGTTTCAGTTAAGGAGACAGTGGTAGAATTCTCCCTCCTCCATGCGGCAGACCCGAGTTCAATTCCCAGTCAATGCACCTCATGCACAGCCACCACCCATCTGTCTGTGGAGGCTTGAGTGTTGCTATGATGCTGAACAGGTTTCA